CTCTGGCTGCCTGTTTCAGCACTCGTTGCCCTTCCAGTCATCTTTAATATCATAGGAGATGCTTAACTCTCTAAGACAGGCGATTCTCTGCACCTGCCGACCGACCGATCAGCTGGACTCCGAGAGGCAGGCGGGCCCACGTCGGGCTTTGGTGTGCTCACAGGTGCACAGCCGCCTCCTCTTCACACCCTGTGGGCACGGACAGAACATGCTTCCACCGCCCCACCTGCAGCTGCCCTGTCCGGAGATGGGCAGCTCCCTCTGGGAGGGTGAGCAGGATGGAAACGGTCCCACGCGGGAGGGGCTGAGAAGACGCACCAGAAGGAGCCACGGGGTCTAGGAAGCTGTTGGCTCCAGGAGGGGCTCTGGAACACTGTTGGCTATCGGATCTTCTAAAATTAAGACTGAGGAGGGGCTTTGTCGTCAAGGAGGCAGCACCGGCACTGGATAGCGCCCGGCAGGTAGAGAAGCTGGAGGGACGGGGACAGATGGTAATAGTGACCCCCCCAACCCCAAACAGTATCAACTCCATCTGCCTCTTGTGAATGAACAGCCCTGAGGGCATTAACCCCAACTATAGGCAGAACAATACAGGATAACTCTGCCTGAAATTCCAGTCCTTCCTGCCTGGTCCTCACAGCACGCTGACCTCTGGATGTCTCCTCTCAGCCCTTTAGACTTTTAGATGTGTCCCTGAGTTTCATCTGTGGGCGAAGGTCATTTCCTGGGCGTTCCATCTCAGACCAGCACAGCCAGAGGATTGCAGGGGGAGAAGGGCTTTGAGTCCATGGCCACTGCCCACTTGGACAGCCTTCCTCCTTGCTCCCCTGGGTTTAGGACGCAAGCCTCTTTGCCTTGTCTCCATGACTCCAGCCCACCTTACATTTTTACAGCATCTACTGTACATGATTGTCTCACCCACAAACACTGAAGGGCAGCCACCTGGTTAATTTCTCTCTGAGTCCTTAGCATCTGGTATTTGGACATCTTAATGTACAACAGCGTTTGCTGCATGAATTAAATGATACTTATCAGTCAAATGAGCGTTTAAACTTCTTTCCAACCCATTCCATTTATCAAGTCCTTGCTCCAAGCCCTGCACCCTGCTTTGTGCTGGTAAAACAAAAATAAAATAGATCAGACGTGGCTCCTCCCACTGAGGTTGCACTCTGGCCGAGGCAAGTCGGGAGAGGGGCACCGATCTTTCACCCACAACAGCCAGATCTGACCACGTCCTCTCCAGTAGTTGGACACAGGGTAACACTTTCACTCAGAAGGAGAGGAGCCTTTTACCGAACACCTTTCATGACCACCACCATCCCTTTCTTTTAAAAATGATTCCATTTCCACTGTGAACATTGTTTGATGAGGTGACCAAGCTGAGCTCTTTCAGGATGGGGACAAATGGTCACTTTACCCCTGCCCATCAGCTGAGCCACCCTCTTCCTCCTGAGCGAGCCCCGTACCCCTATTCACTGTTTGGACTGCAGCTAGACATTACACACGCATCTCCGTTAAACTGTCCACGGTGATTCATGGATGCTTTCCCCCAGAGGTTACCCATAATTCCAAACCCATCAGCACACTGGGGACAGGAGGCTTAAATTGCTCCTTCCAGGATTTGTTACCTTGTGTTAGCCCTCTTGGAATTTCATTTGCTAACCTGAGGTCCAATTACTCTGCCCAGCTGTGCCCTTCTGAGGTTCCTTGGCCCCTCCCCCTCCTGAATTGCTAAGAAACCAACTCTTCCCTCTGTTGGTATCAGCGGTGCGTCCACTCTGTGCAAAACCGCTGCCCCTGCGAGGCGAGGCTCCCTCGAGGGGAAATCCACATGCAGGGGCCTAAGGGGGCAGACCAGGAAGCAGGCAGGCGAGCGGTCGGTGCTTGGTGGTCTGGGATCCAGACTTTGCCCCTCTTGGCTCTGGGTCACGCCGAGGACAGCACACCTTCGCACACACTAGAGCTCTCCCTCTGAACCCTGGTCCTGGCTTATTTCTGCTTTGGGCACAAGGAACCTGGCTGAGTCATGGAGAAGGGGATGTCCTGGGTCATTGAGACCCAACTGGATATATGAGTTCACCACACACGTACCACCAGCAACTCAGTGTTGATGGTGGAGGCACAAGAGAAGACCAAGAAATCATCTCATACTTTCCTTTAGAAAGAAGTGGGGCAGGAGCCACCTACAAACTAGGAGGGAGTGGAAGCGAGTTTGGCTGGAGCCTGGGGAGGGAGGTGAGGCTGGGGGCTTGAGTGAGGCAACAGCTCCTGAAACCCCTACTAGGAAACTCTTTAGGCCACGTGATGCCAGCCACGCTGCACCGGCCTCATGATGGTCAGCTGGTGCCTACCAAACGCCCCTCACCTCGCCTTGACCTCTGGCAGCCTCTGCCCCCAGCCCCCCCTTGCTCTGCAGCGCAGGTGGCCCCCGCTTCTCACCAGGGGCCACGACTAACCCAGTGAGCAGGCGCCAGCTGAACGCCCCTCTGCGGATCGAGCACTGTGGGAATGTCTTTACCTCAGTTACATCATTACTCTGCCATTTAATTGGTATCTACTGAGTTTAATCCTCATCCTGCTGATGAGGAAACTGAAGCTCAGAGAGGCAAAGCCATCCTCTCAAGGTCACACAGCCAATGCCTGCCGAAGCCACAGCTTGACGTGGGGTGGCTGTGGTGACCGTGCTCTGGTGGATGTGTCCAGGGGCAGCCCCCGTCGACCTCCTCCATCAAGGAGGGTCTTAGATATACTTCTGGTTTGGGGGACATCTGTAACTTCTGGGTTCACTGGAGTTTGCTCTGAGGAGGCACAAGTTTCTGCTTTTGTTTTCAAAATATCCCAAAGTGATGGAAATAGCCTAGTCACCTACCGGCACTGGGCCCCCTCATTTTCTGAGTGCCTCCGTGTGCTCAGGTTGATGGCAGCATATGCCTCCAAGAAATTGCAGCTGTGTGACTGGTGATGAAGGCGGCAGCACAGCTGGTGTTCATTAGGCACCTGCTAGGCTCGGAAATGTTGTCATCTCCACTTTAGAGGACAAGAGGGAGGCACAGAGAGGTTGTGCCCTGCCCAAGGTCACACAGCGGCTCGGTGCGTGACCCAGCCCTGACCGAGCCCTTTGACCCCTGTGCTCCTGGGTCTGGCGTGTCCCCAGCTGGGGTAACACCAGCCCCCCAGTCAGACAGCCGGCCAACATCTATGAGCCCCGCAGGGGAGGGACGAGGAGCCCCGGACAGCGGGCTGGCCGCGGAGGCGGCGGCGGAGGGCGCCGGACTAGGAAACGTGGTCCTGGGGTGATGGTGTATTTGGGGCGGACAATGAAGGAGCAAGGCTGATAAATTACGGAAAGGGATTCGGAGCAGAGAGCTGAAAGAGGAAAGGGTTACCAAGTTCAAGATCTATCAGCTTCATGCTTTTCTGCCAATTTAGCAAAGGGCCTCTTGGGGTTATTTGCTGGTGTGCCCTGTGGGGATTTATAATGGGAGAAATTTGGATCAAGGAATTGGGAGGAATAATTTTGAGCTGCAGTTGGCTCAAACTGCACGTGTCGGTGCGCGTGCACGTGTGTGTGCGCAGGAAGAGGCAGGCAGTGCAGAATGCCAAACGCTTCCCACTTGGCCGTTCAGACTGCCGCAGCCGGCTCTGGGGCTGGCTGTTGTGGTCTGTTTTTGTCATTCCTTCCACACGCGGGGCTGCCCTACCGTACTTCCAAGGGCTTCAAGGGCGCCTTAGACGCCGTTCAGTTTACAGGGGTGAGGGCTCCTCTCGCCTGTGCCCTCCAGCCCGCCGCTGCTCAGCTCACGCCCTTCAAACGAACCGCCCCGCTGTTGAGTCACAGCAGCACTCTGCCACCGGTGCAGCGACTCCCCTCTTCCTACGTTCTCAAATGAGCGCTTACTGGGACTGGGGCGTTCACGCCGCTCCTACCACGGGCATCCATCCCTGAGATGCAGGGGAATGAAGTCACCTCTTTTAACTTCTCTTCAGATGCACTTATAACCGCCTCCCCGCCCCATCTGGACGCGTCTACAGCTTATTCCTTGCAAAGAACAACTGCAGGAGACACCTTTCGGGTTGGAAATTCCACTTAGTTCAACGGCTGGCCATTGCCCCCCACGCGGACCTTCGTAAACATCCTTTCCACGTGGACCCTTGGGCCTTTTCCTCCCTCTTTTCAGAGTGTTATTTTGGACTGGGTGGGTCACATGGGAAAAGGACATGGCTTTGGGATCCTGAACTCACTGCACTGTCTGTGATGCAGCCACTCAGCACAGTGAAAACACCGTGTGGTTGGTACTTGGTAGTAACTTCAACTCTGCTTCCATTTCTCTCTCTCAGTGAAGGATGAGGCCACTGATCAGGGAGAACCATGTCTTTACATTCAAAGAACTATCCTATACTGCAGAGGCAAAAAAAAAAATATGTTGGAGTTAAGGGTCAGATGCTCTTGGGTTTTATTCTCAGCTTACAAGATGCATGACCTTGAGAAAATGACCTTAACCTCTCGGGGCCTCAGTTTCCTCATCTGTAAATGGAATATTGATAAGCACCCACCTGATAAAAAATGTTAAAAGGATTAGATAAGATTCTGCACACACAGAGACTGGCACACCCAGTAAGTGCTTAGTGAACACGAGCCATGTTACTCAGAGTGGAGGACGCTTGGCCCCGCATCTCTGCCACTCACCGTAGGTTCACATCCTAAGCCAGAGGGGGTTTAGCACAGGGCCTGGCCGCTGAAACTATGGCCTTTTCCAGTGGTTGCTGTTGTAATGGGATGCTCGATCTTTATTACGAGACACCCAAACTGCCTGTTCAGGAACGTTTCTCATTCATTAGCTAAAAGCAGTCTCTGACAATCAGACATTTCTGCCTATGGGATCGAACTGTCCTTAAAACAGACGAGAAAGAAGCACTAGCCTGACTGACTCTGCCTTGTGGTAAACGTGTAATGTCACTTTAATTTGGTATCAGCAAGTGCCCTTGTAAATTAAACTCACCACACCGAGTCCTTGGTGAGTTTGGAGTCCACGTTCCCGCCTTCCTCCAGGAAGATGTCCAGCTGCAAGTTGGCGTCGTTATCGTGGGCTGAGAAATAATTGGTAACGATCCTTGCCGGTATCCCGAGGCATCGCAAAACTGCAGCGAAGAGGGAGGGACCACGGCGAAACCGTCAGCAAGATTCAACAGATACGGGGCGAGCAATCCCTCCTCGTGAGGGGCTTCCTCCTTTACCCCCATGAGGCCGCTCTGCACATGTCGTCCCCACGTGTTCCACGCCCAGGAAGGGGGCCTGTCACCAGGCTTCGGGGCTGCAGAGAGGATCTTTGCCGCGTGACCGTGCACAACTGCAGTTGGCCCCAAGGGAAGCCAACGGGAGTGGAATTCCAGGAACAAGGTTCCCATTGCTTATTTGCTAATCACACGGTCATCAAAGTAGGCTTGTTTTAGTCCAGCTCATGGGCCTATGTTCCTGAAAATAAAACTTTAAAAAATCCAGCTAATAGGAAGTTAGGGATTCACGAAGCAGGCCCCCAGTGCAGTCTGCTCTCCTGGTTGGAACTTGCTCTTGTGACACTTGGTGGAGGGTGACACCACGGATCCATTTTAATTGTTAGATAATAAATTACCTGGATGCATCCCTTGCCATATGTACCTATTGATTAAACTTAATCCAAATGCCCTCCCTGGCTCCCAGGACGCCAGCCATCAGGGCTCATTGAAAATAATTCAGCTGACAATTTTAAGATTAATGACTTGCTTTGCCTTTTTTTTTTTTTTAGCTCTCAGAATTATTTAGCATTTTTAACCAAAGGCTATTCACCTCCGTCAATAGAACAACCTTGGGAATCCAAACTTGAGTCTGGTAGAGACTCAAGGGCCCTCATTAAATGACTTATTCTTAACACCCCAAACTATGGCAGTGGCAGCCAGCACCTGCCTCTCCCTTCCTCCCCCGGTTCACAGCTTCCCCCCAGAAATGATCGCCACTCTAGGTCTGTTTCTAGCTTAATGCTAATTCACGTGATCACAGAATGGGACGCGTTCCAGAGTCTGCTGAACTCATAACTTTAAGGCAAGTAAAGTTTGACGTGGGGGCCCCAGTCCCTCCTTCCCTCCCACCTCCCTTTTCAGGTTTATTCTTACAGTGACTTCCCCATATTGGGCTTCTGCCTTTTCTTAACTTAGCATCACAGTGTGTTTTCAGGAATAGATCTGATGACTCTTTTATACAAAAGGCATACGTGGATGGAAGGTGTCTACTATTTTATCTAATTCTAAACCTGAAGGAATGACTCACGAGGGAGGGAGCCACCTCCAGCTGTTAGCCCTTGGTGACATGCAGGCTTCTATGTAACTTCAGAGACCGGCCCTTAAGGACACCAACACATTGGCTACATTGCCTTTCCTGCTCCCAGGAAACACCCCTTTAGCCCATGGGTATACACAAATGGCTAAGAAAATAATCTTATTCTGATCCCACAACACAAAACTCCTAATTTCTTCCCAATTGGATCACTGACTAATTCTTAGACGGTTACAGCTTTGAGCTGAAACTGACAAGCTTCATAATCATTTATAAGAAACGGCCCCATCCTGGCTTCCAGCCTCCAGCCTTGCCTTGAGTTTTCTGATTAAAAAAAAAATGCTAACTAGGTAAAACTGTCTTTATTAACAAACGCATAGAAAGGACACTCTGACTTGAGCTTAATGTTTTTTTAAAGGGCATGTGAATGAAAGTCATTACCAATCATGAAGACACACTGAAATAAATGTATTTTTAAAAACATTCACTGAATTAACAATAACGAAGTCTGGGCCCAGACAGACAAGCGCCATGTTGAAAAATGACTCATGAGTCTGAAGAGGACGATTCTGTTCCCATGGGTTTCCTGCCACGGATTGGACGCTGGGTAGATTAAAAGCAAGAAGGGAAGCTGGGGAATAAAGACCGCTCATTAAGTTCTGGTACCTAACTACTCAGGGGCACTGGGACTCGTGCGAGAACAGAGATGAGCCCGCCTGCCACAGTCTGATCCACAGCCAGGGCCAAAACTAAGTGGACTGACTTACCGAACTCCTCAGTGATAGACAACAAGCAGAGAAGCATGTCTACAAACCTCTCCACAACAATAGTGTATACCTTATTATTTATTATTTTAGACTTTGCTCATTTAGCCTTTTTAAAATGTGGGGAGGTTATGGAGAAGGAAATGGTATATCCTTTCCCTCATATTGTGACTTGGCCCCTGCGACTCTCCCTTTCTCTGGGTGTTAGATGATGGATTGTGTAGGAAATAGTTCATCAGTCTTTCTATTAAGGTTCTGCAGTCACAGAGAAACCATGGGCGTACTTGGCCCAGGATAATTGAATTATGCATTAACTACGTCCCAGAATAGCCACCCATAAATTCTATAGATCCAACAGAGCTCGCTAGGTCCCTTTGCCAGCTTATAGATAAAATGTCTTGAGGTGAAATTTCCTTTACATTAAAAATAATTTTAGTCAATTGGATACTTACACGTGTTGAAGACACCAGCAAAAACCCAGCACTGCCCATAGCGGACTGGGTTCTCAGAGCTCTTGTATTCCAGCAGAATGTCCACGCTCCCCGTCCAGGCTGACGGGGGGATGCCATAAGCATAGATATTGTCCCAGGATCCAACGATGATGCCTTCATCGTCTTTGGCATTGACCTAAATGAGACCGTGAGTGGTGAGAAGAAGGAAAGAGCATTTAGAAGAATCCTTTCCAGACCCTGGCACTGGGCAAGCCCAGGCTTCCGGTGCCTTCCATGTTCCTGCATGATGAAAAGTGTCCCACTTCTGTTTGGTTCACGGTTATTTGTCAAGGAAAGTGATGTGATGACTAAGGGTGAGAGGGGAAGTCAAGTAACCAAGACCGCCTCTTAAAGAGCACGTGACTGTAGTAGGTCGGTGTTGAACAGCAGGCAGGAAGACTCTCACGTGCTCAGGAGAAGACAGACCCGGGGCCCGCGGTCTGGCTGGAGAGGTGCCGGAGAAGGTCGTGAGGCAGAGAGGAAGAGGTCTCCACGAGAAGACAGCTCAAGTAGGGATCTTGTCTTGGTAGGAAGAGAATTAAAAATTGGCAGATGACAAAAGATGTTTGAGTGAGGGCCCAACGCCTCTGGTCTAACGAGTTTTGACTTTGATGAGTGGCAGGCTCTAATAAATTGAAAAAGCAAACAGAGGCTGTCATAGGCACCATTGAGAATTAATAAGTTAGAGTCCCATGGGCACCTTACAGAGTGTTTTTTTAAAGTTTCATTAAAGAAGTATTTTCTTTATGATTGTTTAAGGTGATTCATGTTCTATAGTTTTGTTAAAAGCTATTTCCTGTTACGTAAAGGGCCTGGGGTATTATAGTTTGAATACAGGGGAGACTTAAGCAAGGGACAGCAATCTAGAATATTTGGGAAAACCTGGCTACCCATTCAGACCACAGGCATTTGGCAGCAGCAGACCCCAAGTGCAGAAACAGAGAACTTTTGTGTTTAGACAATAAAACAGGGGCCAGGAAGTAACAAGTTCGAGGCATCCTGTCAGGTTTTTGGAGGTTACTGCTGAATCTCACCTCTCTTGGTGTAACTTTCAGCATGTTTAATTACAGTCAGGAGAATGTCTAGGTGGGGAGCAGTGGGAGTTTTTCTAAAACCTGATGCCACCTCAACAACGTCTGTATGTCGACAAGGCAATGGTTTACAGCCTTGCTCTGCAGAGTGTGGTCCGTGGACCAGCAGCAGTGGTGCGCCCGGAGCTTGTTAGAAATGCAGAATCTCAGGTCCCTCCCCAAACCTACTGAATCAGAACCTGCATTTTAACAAGACCCCCAGGTGATGTGTGTGCACATCAGTTTGAGAAGCATAGGTTCGGACGATGCTGAAAAGACATTGGTAAGCAATGTGATGGAAGCAGGTGTGCTTGGATTATGAAAGTCACAGAAGAGGTATTAAAATATGGCAAGTTTTTATGTGTTCATGATCTTGCCAATTAGCAGCTCAGCCTCAGCGCCCTCTTAGGCTTGCTGTGTTTGGTTGTATGAGTCTATCGTCCCCAGTGGGTCATGAGTACATTGAGAACAGAGATAAAAATCTGCGCCTTTCTGACTTCCACCAAGTGCTGGCAAGAGCAGGTGCTCAACAGTTGTTCAATAATCCATCGTATATTCAATGAGTATATAGGCATTGCACGTCTGAATAAGAGCAAAATCTTCTCCGTGGAAGGAGTTGGACAAGGAACCCATCAAGTGGAAGGAAAGGGTACCCATTAAGACAGAAAGATGTACAGGGCCAATGGGGTCCCAACAGAAGAGTGATTGGTTTTATTAGCTTGTTGTAGACTAAATAGAGAAGATGACATGAATACTAGATCTCGAGGGGCTGAGGCCCAGAAAGGATTATCTACGTGGAAGAAATAATTTGAATAATTGCTTGGTGTCATGAAGAAAAATGGCAAGTTCAGTGACCTGCTGTGAGTGCTGCATGGGTATCATGTAACTAAGTAGAAAATACTAGAAGAAAACACTTAAATGTGCAAGCACCTTCTACTGTTTTTTCCCTTTGACTCTGTCCAGTCAGGTTAAAGGTAAGGTAACTACCCAGTTAATTTGTTTAATGTAGAAAAAAATTAATTCTTGGGAGATTTCTGAAGGACCTTATTCAACGAACTGCAAACGCATGCCTTTGATGTAAACTTTGACTTTATCCTGTAAACTCCATGAAATGACTGGCGCACAGCAGGCTTTAGCCAACAATTTTGGCTCCATTCATGATCAATAATCCTCCTTGCAGTTGAATTGATTATTTAAATCTCTGTCTATTATAATGGAGCCTGAAGAGTGCCTTCGCAGGCTATGATGTGGTTTGATGTTTATGAATAAGCAGATGTAGATTTGATTCACATGATCAGTTTCTCACTTATCCTTATCATTGAGAAATAGAATGAAATTGATGAATGTCAGGGGTAAAGTTCCTAAACTCTGGTTCTGATGACTGGTTTTCAAATGGATAGCCATTAATTAGAATGGTTATTTATAGGCTACAGTGAACCCAATCAGCTAAGGGAAAGAGTAAGGACAAAAAAGAGCTCTCTCCTCTAAAGTCCTTTTAATTGTTAATGCTGAGCTGTTCCCCTATTGCTAGATAAATCACAACTCTCATTTATTAGCATTTGGTCAGATTAGCTACTGTTTTCTAATTAGAACATTGATTTCTGGGGAGCCTAGATTGTGAAAGAAATAAGTCTTTAGTGACAGAAGTAAAGGTTTAAAGTAATATCCCCCTCCCTGGACAACGAAATGTTTGGGGGATAATTCAAGGGCGTGCTGGTCCCGTTTCATGCCACAGTTGACTGTTCACATGCTTTCATGGGCTCAGTCAGAGTTTGACCAGTGACAGAATGAAATGCCTTGGTCTGGCATCACTAATGGTCAAGGAGACACTATGGGACTGGGACTTTGGACAAGGGAGTGTTATTCAACTTCCTTAGGGTTTCACTAAATTGTCCTCCCATAATACCTACAATATTAGAAAAAATAAAAAACAGCCCCTCCGAAAGTCACTATCAGCAGCTTCTGCGGCATAACATAGTTCAGTAAACTTCAAAACCAAGGAAAGCTGAGGATTTTGGAGCGGAGCAGGGAGGCAGCATGGCTCAGCTCCTAACCCTGACCACCAGGATGTCAGAAGCCCTACTGTCAAGCCAACAAAATCCTGAGCTTTTACCAGAATCATGGAAACAACTACTGTGGAGAAATGGGAGGAAAAGGGTCTGCATCCCTAAAAAGGTAGAAGTTCAGGGACTTCAGTGGGGAAATGATATGAAGCCTGAGAGTTATCCCCACCTGAGAATGAGATCTATCTCCAGTTAGGTGGAGTGGGTTCTGGGATGAGAAATGTAACAGAATCCTAGAAGAATGAGCACAGCCCAAAGATTCTAACCAAGATTGCCATCTCCTTAGCTACACTCCCTCCCCTGTTCCAGTCTGCCTCAGGGTACAAAAGCATAGCTGGAATGAAATACATTGGCCTCAGGCTGTAGTTCAGAGGTGAGATCAAGCTAATCTTAGATTGGAAAGAGTCAAGATTTTATCTGTGGTGTATTACAGTAAATAAAACACTTGGATGAGTTATGCAAGTAAGAGAATGAATAAAAAGAAAAACAGAGGAAAGAGAGAGGATGGGAAAATTACACATAGAAGAAAACAAAATTAAGGAACATAAAGGACTTTCTCACAGTCTCCTAAGGGGATCAGAGACCTAAAGGAACAAATTGAGGACCAACACACATCGTGGAACTAAAAATAAATGATAAACCGTAAGAAATAGAATAGATCATGTCAAAAATAAAATCAATGACATAGAAGAAAAGCTTGAGATGAACCAAATACTAATGAAAAAGATGAAGAGATGAAGTTAGAGAGAAGCGGATAGTTACAGGAGACAAGGATGATACAACATAAGGATAATTAGAACCCTTAAAACAGAGACCCTAACAAGTGACACAGGAGATGTATTCATGGCACAATATAGGCAAATGTTACCTAATGGTGGGAAAGTTGAATCTATACATTAAAAGATCAGTCTGAGTTCCAGGGTCATTTGATGCAGAATGCTCATTACCTAGGAACCTTAATTACTGAAACCAGTTGAATTTAAGCATAAAGAAAGAGTTGTTCAGTCATACAGATAGAAAACTCAGATTAACAAGATAAGAGTGGGGTTGTCTTCAGACTTCTCTAGAGCACCAGTCGATGGCAAAACTCATGGTCCATATTTACACAGTCCCGAGAGAAAATATTATGCACAGCTAAGATGTCCTGCCAGTATAAAGACACCAACACACACCATGAAGGACCTCGGGAGACACAGTACCCACCATAACCAAACTGCTTGGAAAGTGATAATTAAGGTAACTAAAGGATGAAGGACACAGAGATGCAAGGAAAGAGACTCTGTGGTGAAAGGTCCAGTGAAGAGAAAAATCCATAGGCATTTAAAAATCTTTGGAATGAATGAATGAATATGAATTTTAAAACCTGATAATGCAAAAACACTAAGAATTCTAAGAAAAAATTAGACAGGAGGGAGGAAAGTGGGAGGAGAATGGAAAGGCTGATGCTTTAATGTGTGGATCTCTCTTAGTTAACTGACACCATCTAAAATTAACACATAATTTAAAAACATATAATTGCTTTATTCTTTCAGTGGTTTTCATAATTTTCTAGAGGGGGTCTGTTAGGAAATAATATTTCTTGTAGTGAAGAAACATTTATTTGAAGTTTAATAATTTCTTCTGTTGTAAATATCTATATATCTAGTTGAAATTATGTACCTAAAATATTAACAATTGTTATTTCTTGGTGGTAAAATTTGAAGTGATTTTTTTGAGGGAAGGTTTTTTTTTAAAAATTTGTATCTTTAAATTTTTCTGGATTGTCTGAAATCCTTTTTAGAGAGAATTATCATTTTTAACCAAAAAAAAGGCTTTTCATTAAAAAGACTGGAGGCAGATATGCCAAGATGCTGTGTACAATTCTTGCAGCAAGAATATATATAATTATTATTTTCTTCTTCATACTTCTAAAAATGTTTAGAATTTTCTTAAATATTTATCCTAGGGGATAGAACAGTTAAAATTCCTTTTGTGCCCAGTGGGGTGGGCTGTCTCTCTGAATG